GGCTCCTTTCCCACCTGCCCTCTGGTTCTTCGCGGGACGCTGTGTGCTGTGTATGCATGTGTGCTCGGGGCTGCAGTAGCTGCTTTGTGACTAAGAAGGGAGGCATGGGTCCCATTCTGAGCAGGGCAGGGCAGGGCAGAAGGATGGAAGCCAGGCTCCCTGGCAGCACCTGGCCTCCTGCACAGGGTGAAGGTCACTGTCTTGGCTACTTTTCTCTTGTTGCTGAGACAAAATACCTGACATCTAAAATCAAGGGTGGATCTGGGCACAGTGGCACATGCTTGTAATCCCAGCACTCAGGCGGCTGAGGCAGGAGGATCCTTGTGAGTTTGAGACCAGCCTGGGCTACAAAGTGAGCTCAGTGCCAGCCTGAACTGTCTAGGGAAACCCTGTCTCAAAAAGACAAAAATAAAATAGACAAAATTAAGCGGGGAAAGGTTTACTTAACTCACAGTTTGTGGAGGTTTCAGTCCATACATGGCTGGCTCCAAGGCCAGCGGCACACGGCAGAGGGCAGCAGCTCATGGCTTCGGAAACAGCAAAAGCAACGAGAGCAAAAGGAAGGAGCCGCTGAGAGCAGGCCTCTGGCCCGCGCTTACGGCGCATGCGGGCTGCCTGCCGCGGGCGGGTGGGCGCTCGCACCCACAATCCCAGCATTGGATCAAGAATTAATCAGAGACTCTAGAGCCTGCCCATGACCTGCTGAGGCTTTGGGGTGCACCTAGACAGAGATCGTAACAGTCACCTCCCTGCATTTCTAGCTAAGGGAACCCTAATGCCCTCTGGGTTGAACCGCGTGCACTTGGAGTTTCTGCTGCCTGCTGCGTATCTCATTATCACTATAGCCCTTGCCCTCTTTGGTTTGATCTTTTTTTTTTTTTTTTTTTTTGAGACAGGCTCTTGCTTGTTGCTATGCAGTCAGCGCTGGCCTTAAGCCCATGACATCCTCCTGCCTCAGCTCCTGAGTGTGGGGATGACAGGCGTACGCCACTACCGTTGTCCTCTTGGGAGCTGGCTCCTCTCTCTGTTTCCCTGAGCCTCTGGGGGAGGCGCCAGAGGAGGCAAGACAGGCTTGGGGTGGGCTGGGGCAGGCAGAGCGGCCACAGGCTTGTGCTCCACAGGTGTTCGAGGACCTTGAGGACCAGGGTCCAGGAAGGGAAGGAGCAGGAGAGGTGTGGGTGCCCGGGGTCCCAAGGATGGGGCAGTGCGAGGCAGGTGGCCCATCCGTCCAGGCTAGGTGTGCACTGTTACTGTTATTATTATGCAGCATCTCAAGGCTGGACCCCGTGTTGGCCTGGCCCGGCCCCTGGATGGCCCCATAAATCCTGGCCATAAAGAGTAATGAGGGGAGACAAATGAGATAATTAGGAATAAATCTCACCGAGGTCTCTCTCCATCAGCGTCCCCAGAACCGGCCAATCTTCCAAGTCATTAGCCGGGCCCCTAATTAACGCTGAGCTGCCCAGCCCTGCCAAGGGCTCCGCAGCTGGGAGGGACCCAGGCCGAGGGCACCGCTGCCTCCACCGCCCACTGTGGATGACCTTGGGTGGAGCGGAGGACAAGAACCTGCTCCGTCTCCTGGGCCCCACGGTGCCTGC